GAATACCAAAATAATCCAGCTCAGTTTTATATATGAGTGTGTGAGTTTGCGCAGGCCATGCCAGGTTATTTTTGTTTCCTGTCGTCTCAGCACCTGTCTGCCCACCTGCGACGAACCCACCATTGTGTGCGTTTGTGTGTGAAAGAGAATAAACAATATATTTCAATCCAAGAAAATACATTCACATTTCACATTTGAAGAAAAATGTTATTTATTGTCTATGCCATGACACTTTTAAAAAAATGTACAAAATGTTAAATTTTTAAATAATTATAAACTTAGTAGGTTTTAATCTCTAGTAGGCTATTCCATCCACATGTGGATTTAGACTAAATGTAGGCTACTGTAAGGCTGGAAATTAATTTTCTTCATTTGTAGTCTTGCAATATAATAATGATGGTGAACCCGCACTGTAGTCCCGATCTGAATAATGATTCGCTAAACATAATTTCAGATCAAGACTTTAATTCGCGAAATGATTCGCAAACCCGCTCCGAAGTCCCGATCTAACCAGCACGGAAGTCCTGGGGCCTCATTTATAAAACTCCGTAGATTTCATCCTAAAAGTGTACGCTCAAAAGCTAGATTTTGCGTACGCACAAAAGTTTTCAGATTTATAAAACCATGCGTATGCCAGAACCTGCGCAAAATCCCTTTATAAATCCCAGTCAGGGGAAGATTGTGCGTACGTGCATCTCCACCCCGTCTCCTCCCTGAAATCACCATATATGGAGCTTACAACTCCTTGTTTTACTATGCATAACCTCATCTGCATATCATTTCCATGCACATTCCCATCCACGTGACACCATGTTTAACACCGTCAAAGATAAAAGACATTAAGGAAGTATGAGATACGGACTATAAATGCCATTTGTGCCATACATTAATTTTTATTTCTAAAAATCATCCAATATCCTTATGTTTTAGAATAAATATATCAAGATAAAAACAAAAATAAAAACAAAAATTGTTTAAAATAGTTATCAGATAAATATTTTAGAATAGAGTTGATCTCATTCTTTAACACTGGCTAAATATTAGCCTATTTCAATTGTTTTTATCAATTAAAATCAAACAAAATTTATGCCGTTTTGCTGATAACGTGAATATCTTTTAGTTATTTTAAGTGGAAACAGATAGGCCTATTTATTGCAGTGTAAAACTGTCTGACTCGGCGCGTCACTAACAAAGTTTTCTTCAAGTTGTAGCCTTCAAATACAGCGGTACTTTTCATAATGCTGTAGAGATGACTTCACACAACATCAACACCTCTGTGCAGCTGCGGTTGTACAGTAAGATATTATCATTGGACCTATTCAAACTGGATAATGGACCGTTCGATCACTGAATCCAGAAATGTCCGCCATAATATTGAAGTAAGTGTGCATCATTGATCATTGTTCTAGCTAAAAAATATTTTCTCATAACATGAGATCTGCACTTCAGTTTAAAAATGAATTATTGTGCACCTATAGCACTCCTCGCTGTCAATAAAAGAGGAAAAGTGATCAAGCGCATTTACTACAAATATGTCTAAATTCATATCATTTTGGTTTAAGTTCTGCATAATTACTTTATGTAATTTCAGTCCTTATCTCCATATGTGAGTGGACTATTTAATGTAAATGTATATATCGACATGAAAACAGAGCTTAAAATCATTGTTTTCACTTCATTAATTTTCTCACTCAAGGAAAGAGTTCGTACGCATGGGTCAGAGTTTCTGCCCCTTGTCTTCCAGGCCAGCTCGTACCACCTCTTCTGCCCCTTGGCTATCTGATGTTCTCCACGAACATCGTTCTAAGCTCAGGGGCAGGCTGCTGAAAGAGTATGGCGCAAATCACAAAATCCTACTGACCTTACACCTCTGTTCATCAATTTGCACTGGCTACAAGTAGCTGCTCGCATTAAATTCAAGGCATTTATGTTTGCCTACAAAACCACCACTGGCTCTGCACCCCTTTACTTACATTCATTACTTCAGACTCATGTGCCTCTAGAAGCTTGCATTTTGCAAGTGAACGGCGTATTATTGCGCCATCTCAAAGAGGCACAAAATCACTTTCACAGACTTTTTCATTAAATGTTCCCTCCTGGTGGAATGACCTGCCCAACTCAATCCGAGCAGCTGAGTCCTTGGCCATCTTCAAGAAACTGCTAAAAACACATCTCTTCCATCTTTATTTGACCCTCTTTAACTCTAGCACTCCCAATTCTATTTCTATTCTTAAAAAAAAACTTGTCCATTTTAGACGCATTCTATTCATTTACTGCTTGTTTTCTTAAAAAAAGAAAATAACACTAGCTTTTCTAATCTTTTTGTATTCTATCTGTTTTCTTTTCATTTATTATACAATTAACAAAAGCAAAAAAAGGCCTCTAGTATTGTGCACCTATAGCACTCCTCGCTGTCAATAAAAGAGGAAAAGTGATCAAGCGCATTTACTACAAAGATGTCTAAATTCATATAATTTTGGTTTAAGTTCTGCGTAATGACTTTATGTAATTTCAGTCCTTATCTCCATATGAGAGTGGAATATTTAATGTAAATGTATATCGACATGAAAACAGAGCTTAAAATCATTGTTTTTACTTCATTAATTTTCTCACCCAAGGAAAAAGAGTTCGTACGCATGCGTCAGAGTTTGCGTGCAGGTGCCCAAATTTTCCCGTCAAGTTTGTTTTTATAAATCCCACCTTTTGCGCAGGAAGTGCCGTACGCCTCTTTCAGGGCTGTTTTTGTGCGTACGCAACTGTTATAAATGAGGCCCCTGATCTGATTCAAATGACTCATGCTCCAAAGTTACGATCTGATTCAAAAGATTTGCGAACCCGCCCCGAAGTTCTGATCTAAATCAAACGATTCGTAAAACCCGCTCCGATGTCCCGATCTAAATCAAATGATTTTCGATACGGGTTCTGATTGGAGCGCTTCGAAACAGTGAATCATTTTGCGATGCAGTGGTTACCTTATTCGGAGTTTCAAAAAGCTCCATTTCACCCATCACTATACGTGTTTTTTTTTTAAATAAATAAATAAATAGATAAATAAATACATTTATTTATTTACTTATTTTAGTATGGAAATACCACGCTATTTTGGACTTTACTATATGGTTGTATTTGAAGACCAGACTGAATGGCAATCACCAATCATAATCAAATGCGTCCTTTTAAAACTGGTTTAAAAACCTAATTTTACAGATTTGCATTTACGAATATCCGTGAAATTGAACTGTTTTAACCCAGTTTTTTTTAAGCCTGATTTTATTTCTTATTTACTTATTTTATAAAATATTTTGATTACGTTTTATTTGCTTATTTTTTATATTGGTGCTATACAAATATTTATATTTATTATACTTTTATTTATTTTATTTTATACTTTTTGTTTTATATTTTATTGTATTAAAATGACTATAGGCTATATATATATATAAGTATATATATATAGGCTATAAGTATATAATAATAATTATGTTGGCCTATTACAATTATTTATGATACTACAAATAGGTATAATT